TGGTTCGAAATCCGATGATGCTACAGCTTCTTCGTATGTAACCCATAACTCCACACATAAAATAAAACTACATAAACTAAGCAGCATATACACAGCGGAACTTCACGCAATAGCCTCAGCCCTCCACCTCTGTATGTCAATAACCCCAGCCTCGGTAGTCTTGATAACCAATTCATTGAGTTCATTAAAGGGTTTAAATGGTATGTACTCAAAACATCCAATTATCCTTAAAATACACAAATATCTTCACACTCTGGAAAATTTAGGAAAATCGGTTTGTTTTGTATGGGTTCCCAGTCACGTGGGTATAGTTGGTAATGAGCTTGCGGATACGGCAGCCAAACAGGCACTCGCGCTTCCACAACGAGGTAATCCTATCCTGACCCCTCCAGAAATGAGTTTTCCTCTCAAAAAAGAAATATTGGATAGTTGGCAATCTATGTGGAACGAAAGCCCACCTAGCGAATTAAAAGAGGTTAAAAAATCAGTGAAGCCCTGGATCACATCAAACCACTCTAATCGTAGAGAGGAAGACGCCGTGACCAGGTTAAGAATAGGACACACGAACCTAACCCATGCACATCTCAACGCTAAGCAGCCACCACCAAATTGTCAGCATTGCAACAGCGTTCTCACAGTCTTCATATTTTCCAAGAATGCCCTTATTATACTTCAAGTCTAAATCGATTATCTCTAAAACCGGATATTTCAGCAGTATTAAGCAACAACGAATCAAACATAAAAACAGTGATAAAATTTCTTAAAATCCATGGGCTATTGAATAAAATATAGAAATGAATATAATTTTTATTTTATTGTTCTTTCTTGTTTTATATTTATTTTAATATATTTCATATTTTATAAGTTTTTAAATATATTTTTATTTATTACTCTATATATTATTAATTATTAATTCTCCTCTAAAGATTTTACAAATATAACCAACTCAGAGGCGTTGATGACCCTAGTGTTCTGCGCCTTAAAGCCTAAATAAACAAACAAACAAAGTTATTTTGTTAGATTAGTTTATTTTTGTTTAGTTCAGTATATTTTAGTTTATATGAATTTATTTTTATTATTATTATACTGCTGTTTATATTGTGTATATTATGAATGAGCAGCTCTTTATCACTATTACTATTACTATTGTCCTTAAATGTGACAGATTGTTATTATATATCTCAATAAAGAAAGACTGACTGTTTAGGGAACACATCAAAATTGATATTTAAATTTAATTTGAATTAAATCCAGAAACCACAACACAGCTGTTATCTCGAACATACTGCATATATACCTAAATTGTTATTGTGACGCCGCCATTACTCAAGTGTAGACGCTCACGTAGCGTGACATTTAACGAGACTGGCCAGTTTGAATATTCGCAATTCCACGGCTTTGATGTGGAGTAAAAAACTACATCGGCAGGCAAGGAACCATGAAAGGAAGAGAGCGAAGATGAACAAGAAGACTAGCAAATACAAGAAAAGAGAAAATGCAAGTATCCCAACCCACCTATAATTAGCTTCTGTATAAATGTTATTGTATAAAATAAAGCAATCAATTTTACAGAGGTTAATTATAGGTGGGTTGGGATACTTGCATTTTCTCTTTTCTTGTATTTGCTAGTCTTCTTGTTCATCTTCGCTCTCTTCCTTTCTTGGTTCCTTGCCTGCCGATGTAGTTTTTTACTCCATATTCATCAAAGCCGTGGAATTGCGAATATTCAGCTGTGTTATGGTTTCTGGATTTAATTCAAATTAAATTTAAATATGAATTTTAATGTGTTCCCTAAACAAGCCGCCCACCTAAATTAAGCTACGCTAATTTACAATGAAAACAAAAAGCCTAGCATAGTGCTTTGATGTGCTAATGTAAAAAAAAATGTCATCTCTTTTGATGAAATTAAAATAAGCAATAAAGATTAATTAAGGAAATTAATGTTACTTCTTAATATAATATAAAAGGAAAATAATCACACTTTGATTGGTCAAAATAACAAAATTGGTTAAACAAATCACGATTGGTTAAACTAAATAAAGAATTTTGGCACTTATTATATATAAATTAATGTTATATTTATAAAACTAAGATTACTAACGAATGTAAAAGGAACTGAAATGCTTAAAGAATACACAAATTAAAATATACATACAACTAAGATGGAGAGTAACCATCACGATTGACGGGAAATAATGGATCGAACGACACAAAGAGACGAACAGAAAACCTACCATATGGACTTGTTTAAGATAGTGATGGCTCTGGTCAAGTTTTGGTTTGACCCTCTGGACATTCTGGTCATGCAGGAAGTATGTGATCCATGATCGAAATAAGTGATTAGATGTAGCTCTAAGCTTAGAAGCTACCTTTGGAGTTGACCCTGGTGTTTACCCATGACTTTTGATGTCGAGGTGATTGATGAAATCGCGTTTCTTGGCACTGAGACTTATGAGAGAGTGAATGAGCCTCGAATGATTGTGTGTCTGGTGCTACCTGATTGAATGCTGAAATTCGTGCTGCTGCATTAAATATTGTCGCGGTAATTGCCGCAATGAGTGCTGAGCCAAGTGCTTCAGTCAGAGTGATGTGGCGATATTTGCTGTGAAAAGCGTGATGGAAACTGCTGCTGCGCCAGGTGTTGTGCCTTATGATGTGTTGGTGGTCGATTCCAAACGTGCTGTCGAGATTGTTGCTGCGCTGAGTGCTGTGCCATATTCTGTAATGGTTGCTGCTGTCGAGATTGCGGCTTCATTGAGTGCTGGGTTTGGAGTATAAACTGGTTTTGCTTTTGCAACTGGTAATTCTGCCTTTGCTGCTGTACCTGTTGCTGCTTTTGCTGCGGCGAAATACCTAATCGATAGTTTGGAGAGAACATGCAATGCTGTTTTGGTTGATGGATGGCAATCTGAACTTGCGATCTCTGTTCTCTATGAACCGCTACATCTGAAGCTGTTTTGTATCGTACGTGAATGTTAGGATCCAATTTGCCATTTCTGTTGTCTACATAGCTGGTTTTATGAGAAATAGGGTTTGATATTAGGAATGCGTGATCTCTTTTGTCCACAGGGAATTGACTTACGGACAGAAGAACATTAACTGATGATACATCTTGCTCCGATGAGGTACCAAAAGATGGAACAGTAGTTGCTTTCCACAGTTTCGCCGCCCACCATTTTCTTGGCCGGATTCTCAGTTGTATCTATTTTCTGCCCTTTGATACTTTGCTGGAATCCAGCGAAGAGCGGAGATGGAGCTGGAGTTGAAAGGCATTTTGTTATCCACATCACTACTAAGCCAAACACTGTTGGCTGAAGGAATAACTCGTCAACACCGGAGCTGAATGGAATTCCATTGATAATGTTAGGATATAGATCAATGCCTATCAAAAGATCGATGGTGCCAGTTGTATGGAAAGTTTCATCTGAAAGCTGGTATCCAGATAAAAGTTGGATGACGTAAGGTTCTAATTGAGTGTTAGGAAGTTGAAGAGAGATGTAATCCACTCCACAACGATGGCTGTTATGCGGAATTCTTTACTGCTGAAAAGTGATTTGAGGGTGCAATCAATTGACCCTTTTGGCTTTAAATGTTAATATCTAAAGTCCAGCTAAGAAATTAAGCATTCATTAGTGATTCATTCACTAAATAAAGAAGTAGCATTATTTTAATTTCTCTTTGTTATAGCAACTTCTATTGGATAAAAACATCACGCACTCATTTGATGTTTATTCTTATATATACACATATTTTATAACTTAGCATTCTATACCAAATTAAAATCAATTAATTTGATTATAAATATATGTGTATGGTTTATAATTAGATACCTCATTTTTCATTCATTTAATTTTGTATTGCTTAAATTGCGATTTTTTCCTTACAGAAGTTTCTGCATGGTCTCTTTAGCACATTCATGCCTGGTTTTGTTTTGTTTATAGTTGTATCTCTATTCTCTTTATTAAATTGCAGTCTTCTTTGTGTTCATCGATTATCTCTTCCTTGAACCCCCTTGCTTCGTCGTTTTTTCTTATGAAAATGCCACCAGTTACCACTGATTACAACACTCAAAGCGACAGCTCAGAGGTTTACACCGGAACATCGTGGGATGTTCAGAATATGATTCGGCAGCACTTTCGGATATTGAGAAAGCTCCATTATTTGAAGCTCAAATAGATGCTACAAATTCCGATTGGGCGCTGTTTATTGAAAAATGGCAGCAATGTGACACCATTCACGCTCTTGCGGGTGAAGATTTTCCGAGTGCACGTATGCAGGAGATTTACGACGCTTGTAGGCGTGAAATCATACAAGCAAAATCTATCATGATCCAGGTAAATCGGAAGCTAGCAGTGGAATTGAATCCAGCAGTTCAGGATTCTGTAAATCGTTCTGTGGAACCAACCACGAGCAGGACAGTTGGCGCTAAGGCCTATTTACCACAGATACCAATACCAAGTTTCTCTGGTGAGATAAAGAATTGGACCCATTTTAAGGACACCTTTGAATCCCTAGTCCATCAACAGACATCACTCACCAACACCGAAAAATTCCACCATCTACTTGGGGCACTAAAGGGTGAAGCCGCAGCTTTGGTATCAAATATTCCAATAGAAGATAGGTCATATTTCCTAGCTTGGGATAAATTGATGCAAACGTATAACAATCCTAGTGTACTGGCGACATATTTTCTTTAGCAAATATTGGATTTTGAAACCAAAAATACAAGGAACGAGCAGCAGAATTATGAGAACTTCCTTATAGGTGTAGCCGACAACATTCAAGCTTATAAGACTCTCACTTGGAAAATTCATCCGAGGTGCTGTTGGCGTTTCTGATATTAAGGGCTCTCGATTCACAGAATAGATGGCAATTTGAGATATCAACAAGCACATTTCCAACAGTAGACGAAGTAATCACCTTTTTCAGACAAAGGAAGATAGTCCTCACAATCTCCAGAGACGTTGCTTCCTCTTCAAGCACCACCAAAGGTGAACAAATCAAAACTTAGTACCAGCACTCACAATTTCCAAGTCGTGGATCACCAAAGTACAGAACTTCGAGTTTTCTACATACTGAAAGCCCACATAACAGAAATTCCAGCAATTTCCCCAAGCACATAAAATCACCTTTTCCAACTCCTCGGACAGCCAGATACCAAAGTCCACCACGATATTGTCCGTTCTGAACAACATGATCTGCCTGACTGTTTTAATTTTTGCAACATCTCCGTAGAATATCGCATAGCATTCGTTAGCAGTCTGAAATGTTACAAGAATTGTCTTCGCCAAAATCATGAAACGCCTGATTGCAAATCGAAGTTCACCTGTCGTTTCTGCAAGGCTCGTCATCATAGTCTCCTGCACGAGGTTCAATCAAATGCACAAAGCAATCCTATTTCTACAAACTTTGCAGGATTTGGATCAGCCTCACAACAACAGTGTACTGAATCCTGTTATATACTAGACACGGCTTAACATTTCGGGTCCTAAGCATAGATTGCACACTATCCGTGCTGTAATTGATTCAGGCAGCCATCACTCCTTCATCTCACAAGCCGTGGTAAATAAACTTGGATTCAAGATCAACCCTTTAAATATTAGCATTGCTGGTCTTAGCGGTAATCAACTTGTTTTAATCCATTATCTTATCTAATTTTACTGTCCACAGCAATAAATTATCACCAGCTCTTAAAGCAAAATTATTATGGCAATATCTCTGACAGCCTTGGAAGGGGTTGGCATAGTAAAGTAAACAGTGACTACCATTACGTTTTATTAATTTAATTTTAATTACTAGCGTATTTAAGTTACTATCAATCAAGGTTTTGACTAAATAATATCTGATTGTCTTTACAGACCAAATTTCAAACATATAACGAGTTCGAAATGTATTTTTAATTTTTTTTATTGAGTATTAATACAGTCTGCAACACTGAAGGGCATTGGTACTAGGGCTATAGTATTCATTCAAACAAAATGTACATAAGTGTAATGTACATAACAAAATGTATATATATATATATATATATATATATATATATATATATATATATATATATATATATAAAGATAATGTAATATACAAGATAATTAAAACAACAGATCAGCCGAATAATAACAAAACAAATAAAAAACATGCACACCTATGTACAATATTTACATTGGCCCAGGGGACTCCGAATCAAGCTTTGTCAACCAACTGTGGAAGCCAAAGCAGGACTCCAGGAGATCCCAGTGCTTCTCTCCCAGCCCCGTCACTGGTATAGTAAGCCAGTGGAGGCTGATGGAGGGCACTAGAGCAACAGACGCTCAGGACATGAGTGAAGAATCTGGCCAGTGCCAGTACTCCAATATATAACCGTTTTAACCTCCGAGGAGGATTGTAGGGATGACTGGAGATAGATAGAGACTGTGCTACAGGATTAGGATGATGAGTGAGATTCTGGTGAAATTTGGAAAATTTGTCTGGGATTAGGTCAAGTACAAATGGGATATTAAGGTCATTGTGTAGGGTTTTATTGGTTACATAAAAGGAAGCATCGACTATTGTTCGGAGAACTTTAGACTGAAAGGATTGAATGCGTTTGATTTTGGAAAATTTTGCTGTCCCCCACAGTTCAAGTCCGTAGGTCCAGATAGGTTTCGGAATTGTCTTGTAGATTAATAGTTTGTTCTCAACTGAAAGTTGAGATTTTTTATGGAGTAGTCTATATAGTTGGCCATATCGTTGGTTAAGCTGTTGTCTTTTAAGTCTGGTATGTGGGTTCCATGTTAGTCTTTTATCTAAAAGGAAGAGGAGAAGTGGTATGGAGTTGAAATAAACTGGTGGACACGATTTGCGCCGAAGGGTGAAAGTGGTGTGTTTGGATTTAGATTCATTTACTTGGATGCGCCACTTATTACACCAGTGTTCAATAAGAGAGAGGTGACTTTGTAGGTTAAAGGATGCTGTTTCGGGATCTGAATTAGAAGATAGGATGGCCGTGTCATCAGCGAATGTTGCTAGGAGAGTTTCAGGATGAGTAGGGATATCAGCGGTAAATAGAATATAAAGGATAGGACCCAAGACGCTCCCTTGAGGAACTCCTGCCTGAATTGAATAACACTTGGAAAATTCAGTTCCACGGCGGACTTGAAAGGAGCGGTTAGAGAGATAGGATCGAAGTACCAGATATAAGGACTGAGGTAGATAGGTTTTAAGCTTGAAGAGCAATCAGGTGTGCCATACCCGGTCAAATGCTTGCGCAATGTCTAGAAATGCACCCGAGCAATATTGCTTCCTTTCTAGGGCTAAGGATATATGGTCAACAACTCGGAGGCCTTGTTGGACAGTGGAATGTTGGGAATGAAATCCGAATTGGTGGGTAGGAAGGTTTTGGAATTCTATAATGGGTAGGATACGTTTCAGTAAAATCTTTTCAAAGTTTTTTGAAAGGATGGGAAGTAGGCTTATTAGTCTATAGGAAGTTGTGTTATTAGAAGATTTACTTGGTTTCAGAAAAAGGATGATGACAGAATGTTTCCATAAGAGAGGAAAGTGGGTAGTTCCTATGATACAATTGTATATATAAGTGAGGAATATGATTGCTTTGGATGGAAGTTGCCGAAGGATATGCGGGATTAGAAGGTCGTATCCAGGAGATTTATGGGGAGATTTGGGGGAGTTTTTGTAAATCATGTTTGACCTCAGAAGGATTAACCGCATTTGGTGGTAAGGAGAGTGGGATGGGTGAAGAGAGGAATTCTTCTGCTATTGCAGTGTGGGTAGGATGGGATACTGGATGAGCAGTGAATGTGCAGGAGAGATGTTTGGCGAATTCCTCAGCTTTGTCTTCATCCGATGCCGCCCAGGTACCATCATTTCGTCGGAGGGGATTGGAGACATGGTGGGATTTTAGGATTTTTTTGGTGATATTCCAAAGGGAATTATCATGAGTGGAGGGAGATGTAGGGTAGGAGTTAAAGGATTGGGATCTGAAGTAGGATAATTCCTGCTTCAATTGCTTACAGTAATAATTATAGGAACGACGATCAGCTGGATGTCTGGTGCGTTGCCATAATGATCTGGCACGGCGTTTGATATGGATTAGGTCAAGGAGATGTTGGGGTAAGTTATTGTTTTTAAGGATTTTCAGGGAGTGATTTGGGGAGGAAGCAGTCCAGACTGCTTGTTGAATCATGGTGGTAAAGGAATGTACGGCATTGTCAAGGTTTTCTGCGGTTTTCAGGGTTAAAGGAGGGAGAAACGTTGGGAATTGAGTGCAGACAGCAATGTTCTACCACAAGAGTTCGTGGTTCTTGATCCCCAATGTTGATGTTTTGAGTTTAAGTCTGCACCCAGGATGAAATAATGTCCTAAGGAATTGAGGAGGGAACTAAATTGGGCATTGGAGATGGATTGGTTGGGAGGGAAATACGCTGATGCAACGGTAATAGGAAAGGAGAAGGTTTTGATTATGATAGCTGTGGATTGTAGGAAATCGTGGCTTGGTGTTGGGAGTAGGTGATGCGAGAGAGATTGGTGTACAAGAACAGCAGTACCGGCTGTGCGGATGTGCCCTACCGTACGAAGGATGGTCAGTACGATATGTTAAGTACTGTGGGATTTTTAAACTCTGTTTTTTGGTCAGTCGAGTTTCAATAATGAGGGCCACGTCAACGTTCTTGTCTAATAGTAGAGCTGTTAGTTCGTCAGTGGGGTTTCTAACACAATTCGCATTCCAAAGGAGAATAGATAAGGGTTTGATAGTATTCATTTAAGGAGTTTTTAAAGGAGGGATGAGATGAGATACAAGATTTGTGAGGAGTGATATCAGTGGGGTAAAAAGGGATTTAAAGTCAGTAAGGAAAGATGCCAACAGACTGGTAAGATCTGTGGTATGTGATGGAGGAGGAATATGAGGAATTTGATGTTAATGAGGGTTTTGTTCATTAGGAGGGACAGGATGTTGACGTTGGAATTGGGGTTGCTGTTGCGGTAGGGCCTCACATTTATCAGTCTGGTTTCTACCCCCAAGTAACTGAGAGAAGGAAACTTCAGGGTCCACTTTTTTAGCAGCTCCTCTTCCGGGTTGGGATGTTCCTTCTTTGTTTCGAGATTTGTAGAATTGATTTTTCAAATTTCTGTAGATCTTACAGCCTTTGTGGTTGGTAGGATGTCCTTCCAGACATAGAGCACATACTGCGGGTTCTGATTTCGATTTTGTGCATTCGCCAGACTTGTGTGTCTGTCTGCATTTCACGCATCTTGGTATATGATGACAGGAAGCCTTGGTGTGGCCATATGCCTGACAGTTGTGGCACTGGACAATTTCTCTCTTAGGGTAAGGTTTTTCAACCTAACCCTTGTGTAATACAATCTTTTGATTTCATATATTTTATCTAATCCAGCAGATCGTTCCAAGTCAACAAAAAATAGAGGCAATAGAATCTTTCTATTTTCCTCTGAGTCATCTCTGTTGCCCTTCATTACATTGGTGACCTTTCTTACTTTAAATCGCATTGCCGTAAGTTCGTCTTTTATCGCTTCAACTGGTGGAGAGGGGTGTAAGTTACGGATCACTACTCTCAGAGAGCGCTCTTGCCTGAGCTGGTATGTGTGAAAATCTGCCTTTGTATCGGACAGATATTTAACTATTTGTTGATAAGCATCAGCTGTGCTTGGGGATATTTTAGTATCGCTAGTACGACTTAAGCAGGCGTAGCTCCCAGAAATTGTTATTTTATTTAGCTGTATGCACAATAACGAAAAGTTTTTTATATTTTTAACAAAAATCGGAGGAGGTCGAGGGTCTTTAGGAATAGGTGCAGATTCCATAGATTCTTTTTCATTTAGAAGAATTTCAAAAGGATTAGAAGTAAAAAAGGTGATTCGGTATCTTGAGAAGTACCAGGCTGAGATTGAATGACTTCTGTTGTTACCGGGGAAGCTGGAGTCGCAGGTGGCGTCATTCTTTTTGCTCGACGACTTTTTTGTTTCTCAGGAGCCGAGCGTAGTGTGGATCCGACAGATCGACTCCGCTTAGGTGCATTTTTAGACGACATGACCTGATGAAAAAATCGCTTAAATGAAGCATCATATATATAAAAAAAAATAATAATAATAAATAAAACAAAAAAAAAAAAAGAAAAAAAATATCATCTGCTTGAACTTGATCTTCAATTAATCAACGGCGTGCAGGCCATAGAGCAACTAGACCGCTGAGGAGCAGCAGGCCAACTGACCTGTTGATATCTAACTAGGTGGCACTATGTCGAGATGGCAGTTATCCACCTTAACTTCTATTCACTGTTCACAACAGTACACAATAAATAACAACTGTACTTACAGTAGAATTAGTTCATGTTTTGGTTTAGGTGATTAACTGACGTCTTGACACTGTTTTAATTAAAACTAACACTATTTTTCTAACGAAAAATTAATATTTTTAAGAGCTGAAGTACGGGTCGACTGATACAA